AAAAAAAAAAAAAAAAAAAAAGGTTTAAACTTTAAAGTTTTAATTGTAAAGTTAAAACCTTCAACTACCACTACCTCCAAGCCTCTTTTCCCCTGTGGCAGATTTGTGCTGCGCGCCAAGTTACAAAACTAACCGGCACGGTGCGCTCTTTTTTTCCCTTCTTGCCAGTTCTTGGGCTGGCGCCGGCAGCGAAAGAGGTCCGGGAGACCGAGCCCCTCACGAATGCGGTGGTGGACAGCTTTGTCGCAAGAGTTTGCCTTGGGAGATGATGGGCCGCCCGCCACACTTTGAGTCACTTGAGTCACCATTGTCCATTGAATGGACTGCAGTGCAGTCTTCATTTCAATTACCATTTTCCAATTCAAGGTAGGTAGAATTTTGCAATAGAGGAACTAATTAGGAAGGGGGAAAAAAAGGAGAGACGGAAGAGCACGTGGAAATAGCAGTTTATTTGAGTCAGCACTTTCCCCAAGTCATATCTCTCAGTTTGAAGTATAACTGGATTGAACTGTCTTTTGAGTCAGGAGGAATTTCCCAGTCTGTTTTTTTTTTTTTAACCTGACGGTACCACAATGTCTTTTATTTGTTGTCCTCTTCTCCCTCTCTGCCTACGGTTTACCGGGCAGTTCTATTTGTGACGATATATTGACGATATATATCGTCAAGTTGTGCAGGCTGAGGTATAGAGAGGCCCTACGCTGATGGCCAGTGCTATAATCACACTCACTCGCAATACACATACACACCCAAGGCCGAGCGGGGCTTTCCAAGGCAGGAGACTTCCAATGGTACCCAGTCCCTCAGCAACCTCCCCCCCCCCCCCCCCAACTGTGTACGTTGTTAACACAGCCAGAAGGATGCTCGTCGGGCGGGACCCCCCATACAACATCTACACAGCGTTGTGACCGTCCTCCTGTGGGCTACCCGACTGGGAATGCAAATGCGGCGGAGTCCAGTATGGCGGATTCCGATTGCGGGCACTTCATTCTAGCCAGCCAGGACTCGAACCCGCAGCCCGTGTCTTGCGACACAGGAATCTGTAGAACACAGGCGCGCAACCAACCGGGGGACCACTGCGCATCTCGTGGTACCAAAATGTCATGCCCTTGATGAGGAAAGTATATGGCAGCTAAGCGGCCGCTTATGCCATACGCGCACCTGTGGTATCTTGAATGTATTTGACTGCAATTACGGCGAGATTCGCTTGAGAAAGTGCTGGTGTGAGTGTGATCTTAGTGTTTCCGGGCGCTGCGGCTTACTGCGCTCAGTCCTTTTGCTCTGGCAGTCTTCGTTTGTCCTTCGTAACAGACGGTAAGAGGTGGTGCACAGGGGGTGCGGGTCTCGCGAACTATTGTGACAGTCCTCACTGGAATAGAATGCCCGGTCATTTCTTAGCTGTATTTGGGGCAGCTTTCAGTCCAGATACAGCGATAATGGTTGGCCATTCTATTCGGGTGAATAAGTCGGTAGGTCTTGTGTGTGGGTTGCATGCGCTAATCTTTGTGGGACCACCTTTCTGTCAGTGCCGATGTCTAAGGCATTGCAAGCATTGTGCATTTTTTCCGTACATGCTTATGCATTGTGGCCCGCCGAGTGTGGGGCTCATTTTGGACCACACCTTGTCATTTTTTGGGTCTCATTTTTTGGACCTCTGTGATTGTTTTCTTCTGTCTCGAAGGGGCTCATTAGGGGCTCATTTGCACCTCTGTGATTTGGTTCGAACTTTTTTTTTTTTGATGTGCAGAGAACACAGATGCCGTCAACAGCATGGCAACATCGACGGAATCCGAGGCGAAACCGAAGCGAAGTAGTGCTAACATCGTGATTCGGTGCGGAGCAACAGTAGTCGCAAAGCGGTCCTCGGGAGAACTGTCCGCGGCTGTGAGGAATTCGCTCAGGGAAGGCCAAGCTGTACAGAAGACGAACGATGCTGCCAAAGGCAAGGTTGCGAGGGCGCACAAGGCGAGTGGATGTGCCCAGTCTGAGGAGAAGAGCAAAAGCTGCAAAACCAAGGGGTATCGGATAGGCCAAGAGAAAGTCGCAAAAATGACACAAACGCGGCGGAAACTAGACTACTCGTCGAAAACTGGAACCAGTCGTCAGCAGCAGCAGCATCAGCAGCAGAAGGAGGAGGAGGAGGAGGAGGAGAAGAAGAACGCGGCTCAAAGTGCGGGCAGTGAAATCCATGGGTCGAACCTGCATCGAGACGATTTGTCAGCAAAATCGAAGACACAGGTTTCCGATAACGAAGTAGTACCAGAGGAGTGTGCGGCAGAGCAGCCAGTGCTGTCTGCAGCTCCTGAACCAGAGGAGAGCAAAGGCGCGGCGGGTAAGGTCAGATATGATGACGACGAGGCTACCGTTCTTCCTTATGACGACGACGACGAGGCTAGCGTTCTTCCTTATGAAGACGACGACGAGGAGGAGGCTATGCTGATGGTGGCCGCCTCCAGTCCCACCACAGTCCACACGGAGGGTATCGATGAGAGAGACGGTAAACAGGGTGGAGCAGCTGCCGAGGAAGATGATGAGTTGGATGATTTCAATCCATATTCGTTCATCCGGAGACTGCCAAAACTATCACAAGTTGTATCTCAGGATCGGCCGAAACTGCTCCCAAAGCGAGCCCGGAAATCCCCACCTATCTCTCTTGTGCTGGATCTGGATGAGACGCTGGTTCACTCGACGCTGGAGATTTGCAAACATGCGGACTTCTCTTTCCCTGTCAATTTCAACAACCAGCATCATACGGTAAGGGGAAGAGAAAGGACCTCCGACCTTCCAGTGGCACTGTCCCTCTCTTTGCTGAAGCTTTCGCTGTTTCCTTCCCCAGGCCTGCCCCCTCTCTCATCTTGCGTCCCCCCTTCTGTTAACCAGAAAGAGATTGTGAGTTTATGCACAGATTAAAAAAAAAAAAAAAAAAAAAAAAAGGTTTATGCACAGAGATCGTGGACGCAGCTTCTTTTTTCTACCCTTCTTGCGGTGCCCCCTTTTGTCACTGACTCTTGTACCCCCTGTTCTACCTGCTTCAATAGGCCCTTTTGCTCGGTGCCCTTTTGTAACCCCCCTTCTGTTCCCTCTTTTGTTCCCCCTTTTGTTCCCCTCTTGTCACCCTCTTTTGCACCCCCTTTCCTACCCGCTTTAATAGCCGCTTGTGCTCGCTCTCTCCTACCCCCTGTTGTTGTGCCCTTTCTGTTCCCCCTTTTCTACCCCCTTTTCTATGGGGAGCAAGCATTCACACAGGATGCACATGTATGCCTAGTCATCATCCATTATACTGTTCCCACATAGGGATTGACTATATAATAGAAGTCGGCACTAAAATAATTTGGGAACGAAGCTGTACGGAGTTTGTTGTACTATGAACCCTTTTTTTTGACATACGAATAGTCAGAAAAGACTCAGAATCTCCAGCACCACCCAATTTGTCCCATCCATTATACTGTTACACTGGATGACCCCAAAATCTTAACTCTTTCTTAACCCTTTCTTAACCCTTGCTTGTCTACTGATCATACTGTTGAGAGACAAAGTAGAGCGGTTTTGCAACATCCTGGTTATATGTTATGCTATACTGTTCCTTATTGAACAACCCTGAGCTTGTCTACTGCTTCCCCGCAGCTTCTCCTTTCTTCTCCTCTGCTACCCCGCACCCCACCTCCGCTCCTCTCCATTGTGACCTCCTCTTCACTCATGCTCCTCATTGTATGCTAATTTTACCATTCTCCGTTACGCAACCCTGAGCTTGTCTAATTCCTCCCCCCCTCCCCCCCAAACTCCCCTCCCACTTCCCTCGGCCCCTGGGCCCTTGTTTCCATTTGTTTTACTGTCATTCGTATTTGCGCCCAGGTATATGTGCGAAGGCGTCCGCATTTGCAGGCCTTCATGGAGCGTGTCGCGGATTTATTTGAGATAATTGTGTTCACGGCTTCACAGAGCGTGTATGCAGAGCAGCTTCTGAACATCCTCGATCCACAGCGAAAGCTCATCCGACACCGGATTTTTAGGGAGGCCTGCATTTTTGTTGACGGCAACTACCTAAAGGACTTGAGCATCCTCGGACGGGATTTAGCGAAGGTTGCAATTATCGACAATTCACCACAAGCATTTGGCTTTCAGGTACAGTTTCTACTGTGTTGCTTTTTCGATGGAGTTCACACACAGGAAGGACATGGGAAGTAGAGCAGGCGAGTGCACAGAGAGCCTGTGGACCACAGGATGGGAACGAAGAGGGGAGGTCTATTTTGGGGTTAAGCAAGGGTTAAGCAAGGTTTAAACAAGGTTTAAGCAAGGTTTAAGCAAGGGTTAAGCAAGGGTTAAGCACAGAATGGTTAAGGGTTTAGCAAGGTTCAAGCAGGGTTAAGCAAGGCTTAAGCTAGGGTCAAACAAGGGTTAAGCAAGGATTAAGCAAAGCAAGGGAGGGTTAAGCGAGGGTTAAGCAAGGGTTAAGCCAAGGGTTAAGCGAGGATTAAGCGAAGCAAGGGACGGTTAAGCAAGGGTTAAGCGAGGGTTAAGTGAGGGTTAAGCGAGGGTTAAGCGAGGGTTAAGCGAGGGTTACGCAAGGGTTAAGCGAGTTAAGAAAGGGTTAAGAAAGGGGGGTTACGCAAGGGTTAAGCGAGTTAAGAAAGGGTGAAGAAAGGGTGAAGAAAGGGTTAAGCAGGGGTAATACAAGTACATACCAAAATCAGATGGTACGCCAAGTACTCTCTGGTTCTCCTTTGCGCAGGAGTGGCTAACAACGCGGCCCATATAGCATCACCTATATATAAGCCACACTGTAGCCCCCAGCCCACACAGCATCATCCACCTATCCTGTGATGTATGGTCGAGCCTACATAGTGCCATTATCCAGATAGTATCATCCAGTCCCACCCCACAGAGTACCACACAGCCAGACCACCCAGTCCACATGGTGCCACCCATCCCACATAGTATCACTCACGCCACATAACACCACCGAGCCAACAGGATAGTACTCCCCAGCCATACCACCCGGTCACCCAATGCACATAGAATCACCCACGCCCCATAACATAGTATCACCCAGGCCACGTACACCACCAGCTCCACGTCGTACCACCTAGCAATGCTGCAGTGTGCTTCTTTTTTTTTTGCGCTTTGTGAGATCACCCACCTACCCCACATTGCACCATCCAGTCCACATAGTACGTCCACTCCACAATGTCCACATAGCATCATCCCATCCACAAAGTACCATCATCCACATAGCACCATCCAGTCCACATAGGACCATTATCCTCCTAGTGCCATCCTGTCCATCCCACATAGTACCCCCCAGCCAGACCACCAAGTCCACATGGTACCTCCTGAGCCACATAGAATCACCCACAGCACATAACACCACCAGGCCCACATAGCACTCCGCAGCAGTGCGATGGTGTGCTCTCGTCTTTGCTGTGCTTTGACTGCAACCTTTTGTGCTTTGTCTGCCACATAACACCACCAGTTCTATGTCGCTCAGACGGAGAGAGGGGCACTGTGTGCCAAGACCATCTACATACATAATATTGTTGTGTGCCCTGCCTCTGCCCCCACCACCTAGCGCTCTCCCTCTCTCCCTGTATCTTACGTCCCACATTGTCTGTTCTATTCTGGTGCACCCACTGCGGCGCACCTTTTTGAATAAATATTCTGTTATTAGTAATTTAGTACTCATCTGTATGGTTTGATAACTTTAATTAGTAGCATAACTGTGTTTTTTTTGCGATGATAATTATTAATTTCAATAAATATTTCATGGAAATATAATTTTTATGTAAAATACTAAAAAATAGGTAATTCTGATTATTGTTTTTTCATTTCCATTCATAGTCAATGACAAATTCATTTTTTATTTTTATTTTTTTTCTTTAAAATTAGCTTCTTTTTTTTTATTGATCCACTTTCTTCACTTATGTTCTCTGGTTACAAGTGTGGCAGTATTCGTTATGCCCTACATCCATCTTTATATGTCGCATGATCAGAGATATTGTATATTATCTTATATAACAGCAATAGTTATGTTGTTATTGTCTAATAGACCTTCCTTTACGGAGGTTTGACATGTGTCCTTATGGGCACAATGTGCTTTTTCCTTTGTTTCCTTATATATATATATATTCTATTTGTGACGATATATATATATATATAGTTTGTCACAGCCCCTCGTTTGTTGTCCTCTTCTCTCTCTCTGCCTACGGTTTACCGGGCAGTTCTGTTAGTGACGATATATATGACGAAGTTGCTTACCTGAATGGTTTTCGTCCTGTAGATCAGCGGGAGGGCTGCTACCATCGCCCGCATCCTTATGACAGTTGTCCTATCTGTCGTGAGAGTCTTACTTAGACGTACCTTGCACCCTGACAAAAATGTGCAAGTGCGCTGAAAAGAGTGTACAAGAATGTGCAAAGGTGGGGAACCCTTCACTAAAACTGCAAAACTGTGAAGAATGCAGTAAAAGAAGAACATAAGTTTGTGTCATCTTACTCTGTTTGTACCCTGCACCCTAACACCCTCAAAAGAAAAGTCCAAAGGGTGAAAATGAAGATGAAAAATGAAGAAGGAAGTGCAGGTGCGCTGAAAAGCGAACGTGGTAGACTCTTCACCAAAACTGCAAAACTGTGAAAGAAAGAAGAATGCAGTGAAAGAAAGAAGATGTTTGGGTCACCTTTTTTTTTTTCTCTCCCTCTGCCTATCGGTTTTCCTTTTCTGCTCCTCTCTTCCTTGTGTTTAACACCTCTTCCTTCACTCTGCCTCTTTCCCATAGCGTGCAAGTGGGCTGTTATGGCATACGGGGATGGGGGCAGCTCGCGCTCAACTTCACCAACGTGGCGAGCCTTGTCCGTTAGAGGCATAGTGGAGGAGGCATTAAGAAGACTGAGAAACTGAATGATTTCAATGTGTCTTTGTTTTTTATTTTTATCCTTTGATTCAGTGTAAATTGTTTTTTTGTAAAACACTGAAAGAAATAATAATACTGTGAAACAAAGAATAAGAGGACACTGTTTTGTGTCATTCTGGTTTGTCTGTCTCTTTCCCTGTCTGTCCTTTCATTTTTCTTTTCTTCGCTCATCCTATTTCTTCTTCAACTTCACGTGCTTACGCTCTTAGTCAATAGTTCTGTGACAATATAGCTGCCGGGTAAACCGTAGGCAGAGAGGGAGGGAGAGACGAGGACAACAAACGAGGGGCTGTGGCAAACTGTTTCGTCGGAGTTTCACCGACTCATCAGGAGACTGAAATATATATATTATATACATATATATCGTCAAATATGAACCTCTTGACAGATTTCAGCTCTTCATAGCCTCAGCATTTCACAGAATTCCATGTTTTACCATTACCCTGACAACAGGCAGGCATGCGACACACACACACACACAGACACAGAGAGAGAGAGAGAGAGAGAGAGAGAGAGAGAGAGAGAGAGAGAGAGAGAGAGAGAGAGAGAGAGAGAGAG